CCTTATCGTATTTTCCTTTTAATCGTATTTTCTTTTGGTCTTGCTTTCCACTCTTGGTTTTTGTAGATATGGCAACACAGTCCTGCTGGCATTTGCACATATTCTGCATGTACACTCATAAAATTAAACAACAACAATCAATTTTTGATAAAAAAGTTGTAATATACTTAAAGTATTTATTTGTTTGAACGTGCACCCTCTTACTGCGCATATATTGAGTGTAAATAACGTGTAAATTTAGTGGAAAGTGCATTATATATTGTGAAATATTCCCATAAAAGTTGGTGAAAATTACAAACATTAATAACAAATTAATTAAAAACCATAAGGTTCCGCGCTTTAAAACTTTATATATACCCCTTTAGAACCCCCTGTAACCACCTATTTTCCTTAGAAGCGTTCCTTATCTCCCAGAAATAGTCAGAAGAAGTCCGAAGTAGTCAGATTTAGTCCAAAAAGCGTTCCTTAACTCGGAAATGACAGCTAAAATGAGAGAGCAACACCCAGTGAGAGTGACTCTCATCAGTCCGAAGTAGTCAGATTTAATCAGAAGAATTTTTTCTGGCAAAATCCTGAAAAGTGTCAAACTCAACTAAATTTAATTTAACGGAAATTAAAGAATATGCAAAAAGTAGTGAATGTTGCCCTATGGACGGACAACTTCTGAGATACTTCGCCGACCTAAACGGGGTTAGAGCAGATAGACGATTCGACATTCTGCACAATGAACGACGACGCACCCACCAGGATTATGGGTAACTGCAGTAGCTCGCCAGACATCACAATAGTCAGCGCTGGTCTGATAAACAGCATAACGTGGCGACCTATGCTGACGTTAGCATCAGACCATCTACCCATAGTCATCTCGATTGATAAACCAACCGACTTTGCCTCCGCCAAACACCGGACCTATAACAACTTTTCCAAAGCTGATTGGAAAGGTTACGCGGAGTTTACTGAAAACACCTTCGCAGCGCTCCCCACACCAACCGACGTCCACCTCGGTGAACGTAAGTTCCGCAGGGCTATCACTGCTGCTGCAGCTCGCTTCATACCGGCAGGATGCATATCGGACCCACGTCCAAACTTCCCTGCCGAAGCGGCTGTTCTAGCTGATGAGCGGGATAGCCTTCGTCAGGCCGATCCCGGAGATCCCCGCATCAGGGATCTCAACGCGGAGATTCGGCAACTTGTAAACGTACATAAGCGGAAGAAGTGGGGAGCACCTGAAGACTTGTAATTTCACCTCTGGTGTGAGCAAGCTTTGGTCAACCGTGAGGTCATTGTCTAATCCGACGAAGCACGACGACAGAGTCGAAATTTCCTTCGACGACCATGCTTCGTCGGACCCGGAGCGATGCGCGAGCTATTTTAGCCGGCAGTTCATACTGCATCCTCCGGTAGACAAAGCCAAGCGTCGAGTGACCAGAAGGCTGCACAAACTGCCAACAAATTGTGCCCCCCTTGCTTTCACTTGCGGTGAAGTTCAGGTGGCCATCGGGAAGGCGAAAGCCTCCAAAGCTTGGGTCCCGACGGAATATGCATGCTGATGCTGAAAAATTTGGGTCCTGCGGGGGTAGCGTTCCTAACGGAGGTCCTCAACCTGTCAATGGCCACTCTCATCATCCCAGACATCTGGAAGGTGGGGAGAGTGGTCCCACTGCTCAAACCGGGGAAACCCGCCAACAAAGGAGATTCGTATCGTCCGATTACACTCCTTTCCCCGGTAGCGAAGACACTCGAGGCCTTGCTACTCCCGTACTTCACAAACCACCTGATCCCAGCGAAGCATCAGCATGGTTTCCGTAAAGTGCACAGTACAACAACAGCACTTAACGCCATAAACACTCAGATAACTCGTGGCCTTAACCGCAACCGTCCCTGTGAGAGAACGATTCTAGTAGCGTTGGACTTGTCAAAGGCGTTTGACACCGTCTGCCATTCCACGCTGCTAGAAGATATAGAGGCCTCCTCTCTCCCACAGAGGCTCAAACGGTGGTCGGCAAATTATCTGAGTGGTCGACATTCGTCGGTAACATTTAGAGACAAAACGAGTAAGCAGCGAAAAATAAAACAGGGGGTTCCTCAGGGTGGTGTCCTTTCCCCGCTACTGTTTAACTTTTATATTTCAAAGCTCCCTCAACCACCAGAGGGAGTCTCGATTGGCTCCTATGCCGACGACTGCTCGATCATGGCGACTGGGAATGGAATTGATGACCTGTGTTTGAAAGTAAACGGCTATCTCTCCGAACTTTCTCGCTTCTTCACCGCAAAGTGTCTAGCCCTCTCCCCTACGAAATCCTCCGCGACCCTGTTCACAACCTGGACGAAGGAGGTCAGGCTACCGCTGGGGATTCACGTCGATGACACACCAATTCCGACGGTGAATAACCCCAAAATACTCGGAGTAACATTCGACAGCCTGCTCTCCTTCTCTGCGCACTCAACCGCTATTGTCAATAAAGTACAGAGCCACAACAAGGTTCTCAAGTCGCTAGCCGGCAGTACTTGGGGCAAAGACAAAGAAACGTTGCTGGCAACATACAAGGCAATAGGCCGGCTGGTTTTGAACTACGCAGCGCCAGTGTGGTCGCCAGGGACTAGTAGGACGCAGTGGACGATGCTACAGACGGCACAAAATACGGCACTTAGGACAGCGACGGGATGCCTCCTGATGTCGCCAGAACACCATTTGCACGGCGAGGCGCAAATGCTCCCAGTTAAGGAGCACAACATAATGCTCTGCAAGCAGTTCCTGATCGGGAGCCACAGAAGTGGCCACCCAAACAGACAGCTGCTTGCAGAGGAGCCCTCGCCTAGGCACGTCAGGAGGCATCTATATGAACTGACGGACGAAGTCCAGAGGTTCATTAAGCAACCTCTGGACCCGACAGCGTACAGACAGGCCCTGAACGGCATTCACAGGGACTCAGTCTCGAGTTATGTAGACTCTAGACCTGTGAATGCCGTCCTAGGCATACCACCCCCGGACATTGACGAGACAGAGCTTCATCTACCTCGGGAGACACGCACTACACTCGCTCAACTTCGCTCCGGCTACTGCAGCAGGTTAAACTCCTACTTGAGTAGGCTGAATGAGGATGTGCCGAACGAATGTCCGGCATGCGGAGAGACCCCACATGACTCGAACCATCTCTTCGCATGCCCGGAAAACCCGACAACCCTAACGGCCCTGTCCCTGTGGACAGATCCCACAGAAGCTGCACGCTTCCTAGGGTTGCCGTTAGTGGAACTTGACGACAACGACTGAGATACCAACCGATCTGGGCGGGGTTGTTGTAGCCGCTACAACAACAACAACAACAACAATATGCAAAAAGTGAGAATAATCTAAAAAGTAAAAAAAGTGAATTGAAATAGGAAGGAGGCAAAAAATAATTGATATAGTAAGTGTTTATTGTGCTTGTGCTTGTGTGAATGTGTTTTGTACATACATTTCCATTCATATTTGACGTTAACTTTGTTGTTGCCATTCTTTGGACTAAAAATTTGGTTTTTTGCGTTCCTTTACTTTTCCTGTTATTCTCTTTTAGTGAGCGCATTTTGCTTACGCTCTGGCATTTTGACACTTTTCAGATTTTAGTCCAAAAAGATAAGGAATGAACGCATAAATTAAGTACAAACAAGTAATTTCGCCTTGTAAAGTCTCTCAGTAAATTAAGTTGAAAGTACGTAGTTTATCTTAAACCAACAACCAAATCACGAACAAATCAGTGTCGGATCTAATTTTATCGATAATAATCGAAAAAGTATGGTCCCATAACTGATATCAAGAATGATAGAATATAAGATTGCGCCGTCCTGGGCGTTGACATTTGTGTACCACAAGTAAACAAAGAATAGAGCGAAAAGGAGAACGAGTTGAAACTGCCAAAACAGTTCACTTTACAGTGAAAAACGTGTGTTAATTTTGCTAAATACGAAAATATTGCATTTTTCACCTAATCTATTAGAGAACAGTGAACATTTTACTGCACTCCATTGCTTCGCAATTGAGGCTGCTTCAGCAAACGTTTTAGTGTACTACATTGCTTTGCAATTAAGGCATCTCTGTGGGACTGATTAGTTAACTTGGTTGTTGTTGTTGTAGCAGCATACAAATTCCCCAGACTTTTTGGGGAGTGTTGCTGGAGTGACAGTCCTTGGGCAGATATAAATCTGGCTCGTTCCGGTTACGTAGACCCGACTGTCGTTGGTAATGGAGGCTACGTGGAGCAGAAACAAAATCATTGTAGGGAAATGCTGTTAATATAATAATAAAGAAACATTTCGGGAACGGCTTTGCCGTGCCCTATGAACAGAAAGCGCAGCGATTCGTCCCAGTGCTACACTTGCATCTACGCTTTTGCATCTAGACGGCTGTCGCAATTTAACACACGGCACTTCATTGTGTTAGTTTTTACGCAGTCTCCAACTCAAAAATCGCTCAAAAATTGCAATTAACACAAGTTAAACTGATTTTTCACTTATAATTCAAATTTCTTCTTCGCTGATTTGTAAACAACGGTTTATTTACAAGTTACCACAACTGTCAAAATCGGCAAAACCAAAGTAGCGGTACCACTGACGGCGCCACCTTTGTTCGCTGCACCGTGAACTGATATGTCATTGTGTTTGGACGTATTTGTTTTTAATAATCGCGCGTGGTAGTTTGTAAAATATTTCCAGAAGCTTTCTCTTTTGATCACTCATCTAAAATCTAAAAAATTACCACAAACCACTTAGAATATAAAAATATACGCAATTACTCACATTCGCGATATCTTTTGGTTAAATAAACAATAACACAGGGTGGCTACAAAGCTGTCAAGACAAATAAAGAATCGCGTGTATGAACGCACTTAATTTAGTGAGGTATTTTAAACGAAACTAAGTATTTTATGTTGGTAATGTGAACATAGTTTTGATTCCGTAATCGGGGATTACCATTCTAAAATTTTTCCGACACTTTTCCATCGACCATGCCTACATCGAGTGAAATTGTTAGATGTATCGAAAAAACCACCGATATTTTCGATGCATCGACGTTTTTTCGACATCCCTACTTCACCTCTAATTCCTACAAGTAACTGCAATGTATTCAGTGAAATTGGTACTGTATTTGCTTTTAGATTTAATTTGCAGTGGTTGTGCTTTCAGGCCACTAGTAATAATGCATGGCATTTTATCAGGAGCTGAAAAAATGGTGTTTTTGGTACAGGAAATCGAAAAGGTAAACCGGTACTTTAACAAACAGCAAATCTTTTGCATATATCGCTTTCACAAAGTGTGTTTATACCGGTGCACGGACTTACCACTTCATTGGTAGTTCTGCCTTGGGTCTACCTACATTATTTAAATGTACCATTTTTACGGCATAAATGCAGTTGGGCTCCAAATCTCAAATTAAGAATAAATATATTGGAATTGATAGAGATGATTGAGCTGAGTATAACAGTATACTTCTTTTTTTGGGAAAACAACAACAATAATTATCAAAGGTTAAAGTTCAAAATAAGCATTTTTTGAAATCAATCTCATTAAAAGGAAATTTGATTCCCTTTAATTTGGTATACGTACTTTATATACATGCTGTATAGTTCTTACAAAAATTGAATTAATGTAAAATAATTATAAAAAAGCTTACAAACCCTAAGTGCGGCCGACGCCGCCTACGCAGAAAGGTGTTCTCTGCAAAAGGTGTTCAGTGCCTCTTCTTCGCAACACAGAAAGATAATTCTACGTTGTGAGGGTTATAATCCCTAAGTGCGGCCGCAGGCCGCCTATGCAGAAAGGTGTTCAGTGCCTTGTCTTCGCAACACAGAAAGATAATTCTACGTTGTGAGTGTTATAATCCCTAAGTGCGGCCGAAGGCCGACTACGCAGAAAGGTGTGTTCTCTGCCAAAGGTGTTCAGTGCCTTTTCTTCGCAAAACAGAAGGAGAATTCTACTTTGTAAGGGTTATAATCCCTAAGTGCGGCCGAAGGCCGCCTACGCATAAAGGTGTTCTCTGCAAAAGGCGTTTTTTTTTAATAATTATTTAACATTAATTCAATTTTTGTAAGAACTATCCAACATATATGTATATAGAGTATAGAGTGTAAGAACTATCCAACATATATATAGAGTACGTATCCAAATCAAAGGGAATCAAATTTCCTATTAAATGAGATCAAAATTTTCAAGATCCATCCATTCGTTTTTAAGAAATATTGATCTCAAAAATTGCTTATTTTGAACTTTAACCTTTGATAATTTTTGTTGTTGTTGTCTGCCCAAAAAAAGAAGTATACTGTTATACTGAGCTCAATCATCTATATCGATTCCAATTTTTTTTTTTTTTTTTTTGAGATTTGTAGACCAACTGCATTTGTCCCTTAAAACGTCTTCGGTTATTGTTTTATGCGAACAAAATCATTTATTCACCTTCATTTGATATATTTCGTTAATAAAACAGAGTAAACAAACTTTGCGCCTGCCAAAATTATTATAACCTCAAATCGCTGGTATTGCCACTTTATTTCACATTTCGTTTGCGCTATTACACTCAGTTTACACTACACACTTTTTTACTTTCGCCTAAATAAAATATTCTAACCAAAATATAAAAGCAAATTTCGCTATACCATGGCAGCGCTACTTTTATGGTTTACAGTTATTTATCGAAGCATTGATTTTGAAGGAAAAAACAGTATACCAGTAGAAAAGGTTTTTGTTGTTGTGGCTGTTAATTTGGTCCCCATAAAGGACTTGAGGGTTGCCAGCAACTGTTTTGCCGCTTTCAGGGTGCTGTTCAGCAAAATAATGTGGTGAAAAATTTTAATATCGGATATGTGGCGAGAGAAATATTGTTATGCGCTTTATAAGTAAACATGAACGCTATAAAATAGGGGTATTCTCCAAATCTTGCAAAGCCATTGCACGTAGCACGGATTGCACGGATTGCATAAATTGCAAACACACAACAAGAAAATTCATGGGAAACAACATTTCCTATCGCTGCAAAATATGCAACGTCGAAACCCATGTATATATTTTGCAAAATAGCATAGCAAGATAATAGCGACCCTGTGCTAGTTGTTTTGTTGTTGGAATTGCTACATATTTCTCTCATTCCTCTCATCTCGCTCACTTAATTTTTTTTTGCTGTCTCTTGTTATTGTATTTGATACATAATTTCGCTGCTTGCTCCCCATGCATGCTACCTCTTTGCAATGGGGTGTTCTCGTACTCTTCGAAATTTGGAATAGTATTTTTGCATTTCGTGCAATCCGTGCATCGTGCAAGACTTCGAGAATACCCCTAATGTTTTATACTTCAATACAATTAACTAGCGCTATTTTTGCAATTCGAAATGATCTTAAAAATATTTGTAGTGAAATATGTACTTTATGAGTTAAATGGAAACTATCGTATATGTAAAAATATATTCCGATTTACTTCAAATACATGATGTAAAATGTTTTTTTATATGGATTAATTTTAATAATAATATTTAGTACTTTCATCTACATTGCTTTTATTGCAAGTTTTCACGAGTGGTTGCAGTTTTCTGCAATTGTCTCTGGCCGACTATACATGCTAAAGCTAAATAATTTCACAATTTCTACACTATTAAACGTTTATATTTTAATAAAATGTGATCAATTACTTAAGAA